GACATCCTCGATTTCCAGCTGGGATATGGAAAAGTTCACAAGGTCAAGGTTGGAAGAGACCTTGGGCAGATTTGGGAATTGTCCTCAGGAATCTGAGATAAAGAATTTGGGATTTAAAGGATCATCAGTGATGGGTTAGGAGGAACTTTAAGATCATCTCCCACTGTCCCAGGTTTTGCAATCCCCATCCAGCCCAGAACATTCCCAGCTTTTTGGGGCCACCTAAATCCCCCCAGGATCTGCAGGAATTTTGTGTCCAACCAAGGAAGGTGAGGCTGCTGCTCATCCCAATTAATTTCAGCACGCCTGGTCGGTGGGTTCAGACCTTTCCTGCTGCTTTGCTCTTCAAAAGAACTTGGATTGATCCGAGTACGAGCTTGAAAAACGGCAGGAAAAAAACCCCAGCTCGACAAAATGCAGCGGGAGGATTAAAGAAGGAAGATCAAGGCAAGGAGAAACCTGGATATTTGATAAGCTAAAGGAGCGGAAAATTTCAGACGCACATCCATTGATCCCATCTTTTTTTTTTGAAGGTTCGGCTCTAAATATCACCAGCACACGAGAAGAAAAACCCAAAACAACAGGCAGGGAGGGGATGTGGAAAAAGGACGGCACGAAAAAACAAGGCAGGAGCTGGATAGGAACATTCAATTGGGCTCTGAAAGGAGGATAGAAAAGCCTGACGTGTGTGTGAAAGCCAAATTAATTCGTCACCGGGATGAATTCACACAAAGCACAGCCAGGACACCGGGATGGCTTTGCTGGGGACGCACAGGTGGGGCTGGCAATGGTGAAATCGCTGAATGGTTTGTTCTAAATATCAAGAATCTCCAGGAACCTTCTCCAAGCCTGAGGAGCTCATTTGGATTGCACAGAAAATGGTGAAAACCCAAAAATCACCAGTCCCAGAATTATTTGGGATCTCAGGGATGATCCCACTTGCTCACGTCCTCACCAGAGAGCACCTCTGGAATCGCAGCTGGGAGAGAGGCCCCGGCTTTCTCCGAGCTGTTTGCAGCACATTCTGTACTTTGCCAGCCGACGGGTCATTAGCAACTAAATTATCCTTACGAGCGTCTTCTGAAAGGAATAAATGACGTTCCCCGCACCACGGAAGGATAAATCCAGCCCTGTCTGGATTGCGAGCCCAGGCCGAGCTCTGCAGGTGCGAGCAGAGGTGGGAACGCTCCATTCCCCCTGGCTGGAGGCAAATCCTCTTCAGCCTCAGGGGAGAGCAAGGGGGGAAATCCTGCAGGGCCTGGGGAAGGTGGCACCGAGCTGAGGGGGCTGCACCGAGCCCGGAGCGGGGCTGTGAGGGAA